CGCACCCACGCGAATGCACAAGAGAATTTCAGCTAGAATTTCGAATGTGCCCTAATTTCGACCAATGAGGAGCCGGAATTTCGACCGAGGTGGTCGACGAAGGTGGTCGAAGAAGGTCGTCGACCCGCGATGACGAAGGTTGTCGACCCACGACGACGAAGGTCGTCGACCCGCGACGATGAAGGTCGTCGACCTTCGATGACGAAGGTCATCGACCTGCAGGGTTGCCGGGGAGTTTACCCGGTCGACCGAGTAACCTGCTCGACGAGGTTTTGCGGAGGTGTGCGAACGCCGTCGAGGTCCCTGTGGCGAAGTCGACCGACGTGGCAACACGTGGTGGACGTGGCTTGTCAGGTGCAACCGTCGGCATGTGGCTGACAACCTTCGCAATGTGCATGACAGTGCACGACGGCGAGATGCAGCCGACAAAAAGAGAGAGAAAACACACATACACACACACACACACACACACACACACACACACACACACACACACACACACACACACACACACACACACACACACACACACACACACACACACACACACACACACACACACACACACACACACACACACACACACACACACACACACACACACACACACACACACACACACACACACACACACACACACACACACACACACACACACACACACACACACACACACACACACACACACACACACACACACACACACACACACACACACACACACACACACACACACACACACACACACACACACACACACACACACACACACACACACACACACACACACACACACACACACACACACACACACACACACACACACACACACACACACACACACACACACACACACACACACACACACACACACACACACACACACACACACACACACACACACACACACACACACACACACACACACACACACACACACACATTTACGAGTCGCGTGGGCAGACTCACGTATCGTCCAAACCGTGGGAACGCCATCTTAGTGTCCTTGTTACCTGCTGTGACAGGCCAGAGCGTTCTGGGGGTGGAATTTGTAGTACTGTAGTGTAATTGCGAATCATGGTCGGCGAATTTCCAGGAGGCAAAGAATACGCGATGTACGTTTAACCGCATCTCCTTCTAAAAGACAAATATTTGAGCATCAAATATTCGTGCACACCAAACATAGTACCCCAGCTTGTGCAGTATATTATTAACCCTCATATAAAACAGAGGAAGGTAACGCCACACCCTCACAAACAGAATAAGAACTTGTCACCCAGCCTAACGTGCATACACGTAAGTGGAGCTAAACAATTTCGAACTTGTCACCCAAAAATTTATAACGAAATGTAAGGAAAACTCATTTTCTTTTCTTCGCACCCCTGCTTACCGCGTACACGACTGTTCCTGCCAACAGTCCCTAATAGTGCACCGGTACGACTCGCGGCACTCGCCTCGACCACTATTCCCGTCACTGTTCACGAGGCGACCCAACCTCACGGTTCGGTTGGTAACCCGCGCTCCAGATCTCCGCCTCGACATTTCCCAACCTCGGCGCTAGGCCCGTAGCGCACCCCAATTTCTCGCATTACCGTTACCACAATAGCTTCGCTATATAACCTTCGCTCATTCCTTCGCTCAATGTAATGTTTTGCTTCGATAGTGCAATTCTCGCTCGCTCGCTCAATTGCACTCGTAACACAAAACAAGAATGTATATCCCAAAAGAGGAAAACCCTATGGTGCACTCTGCACTGCACATATTTCAGTGACACACAACGGTGGATAATTAATTGCTTTCGCATTACAACAGTCATACACAATATCACCCAATTTCTGCTTCTCCTTGTCAGAAGCACAGCACTGGGGATGCCCCATTGATCCTAGGGAAGGGTTACAGGCTCGTTGTCCTGGGGGGTTATGGGCGCACTGACCCGCTACTTAACAAGCCCTTTTATCCCAGTGGTCTAGTGGCTGGGATTCTGAGATGGTATCAGAGCAAAGGTCTCGGGTTCGAATCCCCATGTGTGCACATGCTGGCGCTGCCGCTGTGCCGTGTCCTAGGGCATCCCTGTGAGGGGGGGTGTCAGAAGCACAGCACTGGGGATGCCCGATTGATCTTAGGGAAGGGTTACAGGCTCGTTGTCCTGGGGGGTTATGGGCGCACTGACCCTCCTTGAGTCGCTGTACTACAAGGAGTGGAAGCAGCAGCAGCAGAAGCTTCCTGCTACACCGCTGATCGTTGAGGCCGATGAGGTGCAGCGGCCTTCGAGGCAAGTGGAGGTTTCTGTCTCAGAGGAGGAGATCTCTGGGGTGACTGAGGATGGGGGAGAACCTGAGGTGGAGCAGCAGCAGCAGCAGCCGCAGCAGCAGCAACAGCAGCAAGGTCCTCCACCACGTGCCCCACACCCACCTGAGCGTCCTAGGAGGGATGTACGCCCTCTTGCCAGGCTGACCTATCTGAGTCGTGGCCAGGCAAAGGTGGTACGGGCTGGGAGTGTGGCTGAGCAGTGTGATGAGGACGAGGTAGCTCACTGCTACTGGGTAGCCGTCCCTGAGCCCAAGACGCTAGCTGAGGCACTGAGCGGTCCCGATGCTGAGAAGTGGAAGCAGAGTGTGAAGGAGGAGTATGATTCTCTACTTGAGAATGAGACTTGGGAGTTGTGTGAGCTGCCTCCTGGGAAGAAGGCAATCTCTTCGAAGCTGATCTTCAGGCACAAGTTTGGACCTGATGAGGAGCTGACCCGCTACAAGTCAAGGCTTGTGGCTAAGGGGTTTCAGCAGATAAAGGGGAAGGACTTCGACGAGATCTTTGCACCTGTGGGGAAAGGGAATACACTGAGGGTGATCAAGCAAATGGATATCACGACTGCTTTCCTCAATGGGATCATCCTGGAGGAGCTGTACATGTTGCAGCCTGAGGGATTGGATGATGGGAGCGGCAGGGTGTGCAGGCTGAAGAAGGCCACATATGGCTTGAAGCAGGCTCCTCGCGCATGGTACCACAAGCTGGAGGAGACACTGCTGGCTGGGGGATTCAAGAAGAGCGAGTGTGATCACAGCTTGTTCCTGCTGCAAGAGAAGGAGCAGTTCCTCATGCTCCTAGTGTATGTGGACGACATCCTTCTCTTCTCTGGATCGTCTGTTATGATTGACCGTGTGGAGGAGATGCTAGAGATGCAGTTCAAGTGTTCCAAGATGGGAGATGTGAAGTACTACCTTGGGATGCATGTGGAGAGGGACCTTGACAAGGGAGTGCTGAGGTTGCACCAGAGGAAGTACTGTGAGGGGCTGGCTGAGAAGTATGGGCTGCAGGATGGAGGAAAGCCAGCAACCCTACTGCCTTCAGGGTTCACTGTGGAGCCCTGTGTTGATGAGGTGGTGGTGGGTGAGAGCGACAGGAAGCTTTTTCATTCCATGGTTGGGGCACTCAACTATGCTGCGAACCACACGCGGACTGACATCGCATTTGCTACATCCAGGCTTGCCAGTGTGGTTTCACGCCCAAGTCATGAGCAGCTGGAAGCGGCCAAGAGGTTGGTTCGTATGTGAGTGCTACATCATCAGTGGGCTTGGAGTACAGTGCTGTGAGGCAAAGGTAGCAGCGGGGTGCTTCTGATTTGGGCAAGGGGGAGATGCTATTGACTTGCTACACCGACGCTAGCTTCAACTCTGTCAAGACGGATGGCACCAGCATTAGAGGCTATGTGTGCCTGTTTGGAGGTGGTGCAGTGAGCTGGCGCAGCAAGAAGCAGAACGAGGTGGGGCTGTCGTCATGTGAGACAGAGTACATGGCCCTGCATCATGGGGCCAAGGAGGTGGTGTGGCTGAGGCGTTTGTTGGAGGAGATCGGGTTTGAACAGAAGGACCCGACAGTGATCTTCTGTGACAACGAGCTGTGAACCTTGCCAAGAACGCTTGCCTTCATGGGCTCACAAAGCACATCAGGCCCAAGTGGCACTAGGTGAGGAGGCTCCTGGACAAGGAGGTGCGGTTGGAGATAGTGAAGACCCAACAGCAGGCGGCTGATATTCTCACCAAGCGCCTGGCTGAACCTGAGCATTGGAAGGGCATGAAACTTGCTGGAATGAGTGTGCATTGAGGGTGCATGCATGAGCTGAGGCATGTGGGATGATGGTTGGCAGCCAGAGGGGGAGTTTGTTATGTGATGCTATCATTTGCATTCACGTCTGTCTGCCTCCCATCATATGTTCGTGCGTTGCATGCGTGGTGTGAGCGTGTGCAAGAATTTGTATTTGGCGTGGTTTGGATTTTCTGAGTGTGTGTGAATGTTATTTGGCTTGAGCAGATACCTGAAGTGACTCCTCTGCTCGAGAGCATTCCGACGAACCAAGGACAGCTTCAATCGGAGCACGAACGAGAAAGTTACGAACGGTTGAAGTTCGTATGCTTCTTATATTTGGTTACAGCAACTTTGGGAATTTGTGGGGTGACTCCATAAGGGGTATAGACTTTTGGGGGTTGGGAAATTCTTCACTTCACTGTAGTTTGATGCCAAGTGGTTGGGAGAAGTCATAACCAGGTTGGCAAGTGTGGCCAAGTTGGGTGAGGTGGATGGCATGGGTTGGGAAAGTGACAAAGGTCAAGGCTGGGGTGCCTATAGGGAGGGGAATTGAGTGCCTATGGGGTTTCCTTGGTTGGGGACTCTCTTGGGACCTTCCCTCTCGTCCTTCTCATCCCCTTCTACCTGGTTCCTAGCTACTCTAATTCCCTTGTGTGTTTCTTGGGAGATAATTCCGATTGAGTTAAGTTTCAGCTCCAGCATACCCCTTAGTGCGCCGAAATTCATAACCCGAGATTTACTTCACCCATTGATACGATTCAAATTGGGAATTGTAGCTAAGGTCTAATGCTACAACATATATGAAATTGGTGAAGTTTCGACGATGCGTTTTTTGTCGACGACGTTTCTTGTGAAGTCGACGTTTCTGTCCAGAAACTAGGCCCAACGATATTGAGATATTTCGGCCCCTAATCTTCCTAGGCTCCGTCCTTAGTCTCTAACAGGAAGATGGGGGGAGAATATGGAGGATGCAGGGTGGAATGGTATTGGCCTAGAGGGGAAGAGAGGGGGGTGGGGGGAGGGGAAGGGGGGGGAAGAAGGGAAGGGGAGCAACTGGGAAACACAAAGCAAATGCTGCTGGCATAGAGGGGAGAGAGGGGGGGAAGGGAAGGGGAGCAACTGGGAAACATGAAGCAACTGTTGTTGGCATAGAGGGGAGAGAGGAGGGGAAGGGAAGGGGAGCAACTGGGAAACACAAAGCAACTGCTGCTGGCATAGAGGGGAGAGTAGGGGGGAAGGCAAGGGGAGTAACTGGGGAACATGGAGCCTCAAAACCCACACCCTCCGCACAAAACACCCCTCAAACTACCATGCTTGCGAGCGGTGACCCCAGCTCTGCACTCATTCCATCCCTCCTCACCTCCTGCAAATCTACCCCCTCACCTGCGGAAAAGGCCCTCCGCGCTAAAGCGCTCCACATTGCACCCTTTGGGCTGCCAGCGCAGGTGCTCGTACGTGCGGTTGCTGCGCGGGCACGCCCAGCTGCAAAACACCTGGAAAAGGCCTGCCCTCACCTCCGAAAGAACCCCTCCGCGCTGAAGCGCTGCATGTTGCATCCGTGCGGCTGCCAGCGCAGGCGCTCGTATTCGCGCGTGCGGTTGCTGCGCGCGCACGCCCAGCTGGAAAACATCCAGTTGCATTTTTCCCCCGAGTACAACGCTGGCTGCCGCGTGCGCACCCACCGCCCGAGGTACAGGTCGCAGAGCGGGGCGGCGGGGACAGCGGGTTTGGTGGGGACAGCAGAGTTGGTGGAAGAGGTGATGGGGGCGGAGTTGGCGGCGGGAACACTTTCGGTACTATCACTGCCTTCAGTATCATCCCCACTGGCGTTCCCACTGCTTCTGTCACTGTCACTGCCGTTACTGTCACCACCACTGGAACCACCGGCGCTTGCGCCAAATTCTGTTCTAGGCCGACTATTTAGCCCTTCTCTCAAACCGCTCGCTAGTACCACTACCGAGTCAGCTTTTAGAGGGGATTGAGCTGATTGCTCCACTCCAATCTGGCTACCAGAGTCCCCTTCTTGGCTATGCTGGGAGAGTTCGTGATTGTATGCAGGGGAACTGTGACTATAAGAGGATGAGGAGACATATACGTTTTCTGGAATTGCGAACTGGCTTCACCTCCACCCTATAACGAGGATGGCTAAGGATGGGGGAGAGGGATGGGGGAGAGGGAAAACGGAAAGACAAGGCGAAAGCATAGGGATAGGTGGAAAAGATGAGGGAATGAGATAGGGGAGAGGGACAGGGGAGAGGAAAGAAAGAGAGGGAGGGAGCAGAGGGATAGGGGAGGGGGATGAAGGAGAGGGATGAGGGAGGAGAAGGCTAGGAGTTGGATGAGGGAGGGGGATGAGGGAGACTGGTTGAGGGGTAAAGGAGGGATTGAGGGAGAAGGATGAAGAAGAGGAAGGAAAGAGGGAGGAAGCGGAGGGATTAGGGAGAGGGATGAAGGAAGAAGGAACATTTTATGGAGAAGGAGAGCGAGCGTGTGTGGAGCGAGAGGGAAGCAGAGGGGAGCGAAGAGAGTGGGCACATTTTGTTACAGAAACCCATTTCGCAAGCACAAAAACATGCATACGGAAGAAAAAACCCAAACGAGCTCACACTTCGTCTGGCTGGAGTAAATCGAATCCCGCGTCGCAAAGCCCAGTATCGTTACAAGCATCATCGTTAGAAGCACCACCGCCGCCGAACATGTCGCATGCCACCGAGCTCCTCCGCAAATCCCCGCGCCGCCTGCCTTCTTACCGCCCATTGCCGCCGCCAGAGACGCGAAGGAGCGAGATTTGGAAGGGGTGCTGAGAGGTGAGCCGGGAGCATCCCCGCTGGCTGCGACTGCAGCAGAGCCGCGAGGGAACGATATTTGGGATCGGTTGGAAGGGGTGCTGAGAGGTGAGTCCGGAACATTCCCGCTAGCTGCAAGCTGCAACCCATTTCCGGGGAACATTATGTAAAATTACACGGAGCAAGCAGGAATGGGCGACGATGATATTGAGTGAAAAAATATTTTTGAGTCAACTCGGAATCAGGAACGGAAGGAGCGAGGAGCAGGGCTTTCCAGTAAAAAGGAAGAAACGATCTAGCAAACTACCGTCACGGAAATGTCACGTTTTCGTGTCACGTTTTCCGCGAGCCTTCGAGCCTTTTCCACGATGTACCTGAATCACATTATACGAACTACCTACCTGACGGCCGTCGCGTGTGCGCAACCTCGCTAGGAGCTGGCGCCACCCACACTGATAGTAGCGCCGTCGGTTGCGATTGCGCCAACGACGCTGAGCCTGAGGCTGCCTCCGCCATGATCCTCTCTGCGAATTTCTCCAAAAAAGTACTGTGAATAGTCGCCTGAAGCGACAACAGTTGGCACTACTGTGACAGTACGAGGCTGCTTTGGAACCGCAGTCGGCAAATGAGTCTGTTTTGAGACTGTAGTTGTCAATAAAGAGCTTACTCATGACGACGATGCTACTACTACGGGTCAACATCGGTTTTCCCATTTTACCGTCCTGAAACGTATTCCACCTGATAAAACCGCAGTGCGCGCACGGGATTCTGTCTAGATCCCTGGAAAGTCACAGATCCATCGCGGAAAAGGTTTTCGGCCAAAACCGAGTTTAAGTATGGATGTTGCGGAAAAGTTGCTGATACGTTGCGAAAAGTATCCGAAAAGCAACGGACTAAAACCGCAACTCTGCCTCCGAAATGCATTCCGGTGGCACCCGAGTCGCGCATTGCAGACTGAACAAATGCGCGAAATTGGACCGACGAGGCGCGTGAAAAAGTGGTGGAATGTGATACATTTTGGGGGCGGCTCGTCAAAATGAGTACACGGGAAAACCGCAACAGCAAACCCCGACATAACTATCTGCATACTAGCACACTCTACATGATTGTTCCACCTTATGCAACCAGACGTCCACATTACTATTAGGCAGCTAGCCGATAAGTGTCAACAACTCCTGGCTGGTGTAGTTTGTGTCAATGGTTCCCCCGTCCTCTAAAAAAATATCAAGTCTGCCAAATATAAGTATCATCACACTTACATCACTATTTCCACCTACGCAAGCACAGAATCCAATTTAACACGGTACAACAACCCAGAGTCCCACTTCTGCACCTCGTGCATCGCCTTTCAAAGCATCCGTTTATACTCCCTCTACCACATTGACATGATAACGCCCTTTATGCCACAGGTGACGGAAGTGCACCACTCGTAAAACGCATTTCAGAGGCGCTCCACGCTACCCTTGTCGTCCACTTCCGGGAACAACACACCATAGCGCTGTGTCTGTGGTTCAAAGTCGGACCCTGCAGACGTGATCCCCTCCTCGCTGGGGCTTCCACCTCGAGCCCGCTTAGTGGGTGTGCGGCGAAGACGGCTCACCACCTCTTCATTCGCTGCACCAACCTCCTCGGGAACGTCACACACTGGGATTCCCAAGCTCTCCGCACGTTTTTCAAACTCACCAGCAACCATGCGCACCACGCGGCGGCAGCTGCGCCGGTCTCGCATGAGAGGCCCCTCCGGCATGCAAAAATGTACCGGGATCTCCTCATCGCCGTCACCCTCCTCACCATGACGCGGGTTCCACTTTTCAAGGAGCATTTCGTCGCAGCCTACGAAATCCCACGACGCCATGAACGAGCCGCTGCTGCACTTTCTCTTAAACTCATCAATCTCCAGCTGCAGCTTCGTCAAATCCGTTACAATACACTCGAACATCCCTGCCGCGACTGCCTCTTTCAGACACTCCATACGCGGCAGCCATCCCCGCGGTACACACCCGGCTCTCCACCAGCTCCTCTGAATAGCGCCTGGCATGGTGCACTTGCCGGCAATGAACAGCTTGTTAAGGACATCGTGGAGCGGAGGTCGCGGAAACACCCCCTTCTGGATCCACTCGGTGCTCGCAATCGCGTTGCGCAGAAAGTGTGTGCGCTAAAACGCCTTCACTGAGTCCACCACCCCATTGAGCGCAGGAACGGAGCACGCAGGTACAAGGCCATACGTCTGCACAAGATGCACACTAGTCAGACCATGAACGAGAAACCCTGCCACATGGGCGCTATCCGTCACATATCCGGTCAGGACATGATTCGGATTGTGCACCAGCACTACCGCTTTCTCGTTCTTTGCATACAGATCCCCGTTGAACTTGTCCATGTACTCCGTGAACAGCTGCGCACACAAAAGTGAATACAACGACACGGTTACCTGATGTTCTATAAACTGCACACTGCGGCCAGTACGGCTCAACACTACTGCATCAACGACAACTGCGCAGCACAACCATCCTCCATCCCTTACCTCTGGCGACATGCGACCGTTCTTGGCGTAACGGACTTCCACCGAATGCGAGTGACACCGCCCTGCGTAAACAGGCCTCTTGTCATCCCGTCGGAGAACAACGAGCGGAGGCTTGCGGATACTGCCCGTCGCGTTGTGGAAATAGCACACGGGAACGTGCCACTCCCGCATCAGATGTTCGCGCTCATCCAGAGACGGACCCAACGGAACCCTAGTTGGGATTAACGGAAACTCTGTGAACCAAAACACGTTTTCGGGGGGGGGGGGCTTGAGCTCCTCTAGCAGGGTTACAATGGATGCCATGTCGTGAGTATGCTGAAACAGAAGTATCTCTTGGCTAAATTAGTACTGGGGCTCCACAACTCCACGCGGTATGCTTTCGAGCAGTTTCAACTGCGCCAAATCACGCGGACTCCAAATTGACACCTCAGCACTCGGCCACGCGTAGCTCGGATACCCAGATTACACAACCAAACGCAGCTGTCGGGTTTCAACCAATCGCCTAATACCAATCGGAACGGCATGCTCCGATTTCACGAAGGGCCTACCCCCTCCCCGCCACACACCACCCCTCGGACACCTGGAGGTGTTCGCTACCACATTTCAACAAACATCGACGCATCTGCGTTACAGAAGACACCGCCGTGCACAGTCAACTCCACGAGCACACTGCGTGAACATTACCGACACGCGTAAAGTATACAGTGTGGTGCAGAATGCCACATTGTGCACCGTTCACAATCAGTACCGTACACATGGCCCACACTTGCAGTGCGAGCCTACCCAACATCACACAAGAGGGCTCAGAACATATTGGTATGCTGTCTTGAGCGTTCAGGGTTTAGGGTCAACTGCGCTGCCATAGCATACTACTGAGTTCAGGTACACACATTAGTTGGCAAACATAAGACTACACTTAACGTGGGTAACAAACGCTCCGCCGTGCACCCACGGATTTGTCCACAATACGTCTGTCGTATCCACATCTTTCCAGGTCACTCGCACAGCAGAAACTTGTGCATAATGCCACATTGTGCATAATGCCACATTGTGCACTGTTGCGGAAGGCAGGTAACTTAAAGGTTGCTTTTTCGTCACTTTTCCGCAACATAACCACAATCCCTTTTCCGCGATGTCTGTGTGAAGTTTAAAAGGAAGAAGAGAGAGGAGGGGTTGCACTAGCAAGAATGAGGATACAAATAGCAAACCCTAGAAGGGTTGTACTCGCTATAGAGCACCCCACTACAGGCTAGAGCATAATATTCTGACACACCCCCATAGCCAAAGTGGGGTGTAATCAGCAGAGCAAGCAAAGCAGTACAAGCTCAGGGTGGATCACAATGTCACCACACATTCTGAGCACAAGTTCAAGAAGCAATAGTTTAAAGTTCACAATTATGAGCAAAGCTAGTGGTAGTCACAACGGGCAAGTGAGGAGGAGGAAAGAGACTATGAGAGGAGAGGAGGTAGTGGGCGGCAGCTGAAGCTGCTGGCACACGGCGCAACTGGAGCAACTGGCACACGGGCAACTGGAGCAACTGGCACACTGGCAACTGGAGCAACTGGCACACGGGCTACTGGAGTAACTGGCTCCGCGGCTAAAAGTAGCGGCAGACGAGCAACGGACTCACGGGCGACTGGAGCAACGGGCTCACGGGCGACTGGCGCAACGGGCTCACGGGCGACTGGCGCAACGGTCTCACGGGCGACTGGAGCTGCTGGCTTCACGGCGGCCACCCCCTTCAACCTCCCCAAACTATCCCACTCCCCCTGACACACACCCGCTGCTACACCGCTAGCTCCACTCCCCCTTCACCCCCCCTTAGTACCACTCCAACGGCTCCAACAAGTCCACCCCCCCTCAGCGGCAGCTGCAGCACAGGGAGACGGAGGAGGAGGAGGAGCAGGGAACGGCACACAGTGGCTTCACCCCCATACCCCTCACCCCCAAACCCTAATTCAGGAGAACGGGCTGTAGGAGGGGTGGGGCGCCAGTAGAAGCACGGGGGACAGCGGGGAGGGCAGGGGCAGCGAGGAAAGGGCCGCCCACGGGCCTGGCACAGCCGCCCGAACCGCACGCAGGCGGCCCGAGCCGCGCGCGGGCCTGGCGCAGCCCGTACGGGCCGCGCGCGGGCCTGGCGCAGCCCGTACGGGCCGCGCGCTGGCCTGGCGCAGCCCGTACGGGCCGCGTCCGGGCCTGGCGCAGCCCTTACGGGCCGCGCGCAGCCTGTACGGGCCGCGCGCAGGCCACGACGGGCGACGGGGGGCGACGCGCGGGTCCCCGTCGCCCGTCGCAGCGCCTCCCGAGGGCGACGCGCCGAGTGACGGGGCAGAAGCCCGCCGCGCGCCTCGGGGCGCACAGCGGGCAGAGAACCGCCGCGCGCCACGGGGCGCACGGCGGGCAGAAAACCGCCGCGCGCCTCGGGGCGCACGGCGAGAAGAAAAACTGCCACACGCCACGGGGCGTGCGGCACAGAGGGTAGCAGTGGAAGTTGCAGCGGAAGCAACGAGGTGGTGAGCCCACCCACAGGATCGATCCAAGGGGATCGACCTGCTCTGATAGCATGTGAAGTTTAAAAGGAAGAAGAGAGAGGAGGGGTTGCACTAGCAAGAATGAGGATACAAATAGCAAACCCTAG